ACTCCCACCTCGGCAGGAATGGCACAGAAGGCTCGGCAGGGACTTGGGACAGCATGCAACGCAGGTCTCTTTGCTGGTGTCTGCGGCAGATTGGGCTTCCATATGTGCGAGTACGAGAGCTTTGCATACCCTCCTTTACTACGTAGCCCACGCCGTGACCCGCACGAAACGTTGTCTTGCAGCTGCGAGCAGCGAAGATTGTCATTTCGCTCTCAAGACTTTTTTGTTAGCAGCGAGGTGCGCAAACAGCGGAAGAAAAGGAAGACAGGTGCGAAAAGACTTCGCCAAGAGTGAGAATTCGTCGGGATGTGCTCTTGCAAGATTTCGTTCGATGTGCACTAATGTCACGGCGTAGACAACATAACAACTAGCGACTAGCATGACCGGAGTGACCAGTAATTGTCAATTGCTGGCAGGGCTCTTATGGACCTGCGCCAGTGCATGGTCGAGGCTCTGGCGCTCGCCTGCCTTTAGCGTCGTAAGCTCTCCAGAGAACCGGCAAATCAGATGGTGGCGGTGGTCCCTTACGGAAGTGGCTTGAAAAATCACGAAGCATAGACCTCACGGCAAATCGTGTGGAGGTGTCTGAAGCATCCAGTTCGGGCGAAGTGTGCACATATCTAAGAAAATGCGACGGCTACGTGATAGCAGTATGTCTTGGTGTAGGCATGTTGGCAGAGATCACTGCATGGACATATGCACAAACACGCGCGTTTCCGAGGCACTACATGCTTGTATGTTTTCACATACACACACATGCCAGATTGTGTAAACATATGTATATGTATTGTGCAATCCCACACGCATGCATGCTCACATACACAACGTGCTGGATTGCATCGTACTTGCTTGCACACGCATGTCTGGGCCTGACAGCCAAGCTCTAGTCTTGCATATGACTGCGCGATGTTGCTGGTGGTTTTAGCAGCTGAAGTAAGCACATTGTCTCCAAGCCTAATCAGCATCCGCACGTCGGAATTGCCCTGAACTGGGTTTTGTTGGTAGGTACTTGTGTCATCAGCGGTTTACTCGTGTAGGGTCCCCATCGTCAGACGCGGGAGCCTGTTTGCAAGAATCTCCTCCACATGAGCCTTTCGCCAGTCTGGAGTGTCCTTCAAAGATGCCACGCTGTTTCTGCAGGCCGGAATCCCAAAGTGAAGTCTTCTGGAACAGTCTGCTCTGAATGTGTAGGGGCGCGACGGTGCCTTAGACAGTTACAGTGCGAAGCCGTAGATTCGCCGTGAATACCCAGGTAGGTTATATACACTTAGCAAGTAACAAGCACGATAATAAAAGAACCATGGTGGCAAAAATGAAGTAATCATCACCAACACACCAAGTGCTGTTCCACAGGCAATCGTGTACAGCCAGAGAACATGCAGGAGTGGCTTCTGCACAGCCGGACTTCCCACGAGTCAGCCTGCATCATAGGTACCATGGACCAATACCGCGAAGAAGACTACTCCCTTAGACCTATACCCTGGACCCGACGTAGCCAAAATCCCTGAGTCTCTCCGAGCTTTTTTGAGACGGTGACAATGACTTCCGACTTCCGACTGAGGCCATGCGATCTAGTCTGGGAGGCAGTTCGGCCCGTTGATCTGCATTGACTTCGGGTACTCTGTGTTGCTCGATGGATGAAGAGAGAGAGATGCAAGGGGTGGCAAAAAGCCTGCCGAAGTTGGGTAGCCATGGCAGGTGCCCCACCATCCGTGCAGGATGTGGCAAACGCCCCAGCATTGACATGCTGCCTCCTTGTGATGTCCATCAGCTCATCAGCTCTGGCTGTGTTGAACAAGAGCCAGCTTCAGGCCAATTCTTTGATGCCCGGACCTTGTCAGCACATTGAGGGCACCGGGCAGACCATGGGACACCATAGCTGGCATAGCAGCGCATTTGATGCCTCATCCTGCGTGGACCCACTGGGGGCACCCAACTCTGGAGGCCGGGGCATCTTCTTCAAGATGCTGTGGATCAGGTCGGGTGCCAACAAGGATTGACGGACTTGCATCCTCTTACCCCTTCTGGATAGCCTGGCAGGCCAAGAAGAAGACTGCCTTTTCACTAAGTGGCCAGGAGCTCAGATGTCCGGAGAAACATCGAAAGCCCCATAGACAAGCATGGCATGCGGCTCCAAGTACGAGCTGGATTGTGATCTCAATTTCGTCGATGTCATGTCGAGGGCCACTTTGTTTTTTCGCAAAGCCCGTATCCCGAGGCAACGACGATCCGAACATCAATCTCGACAACATCCAGGGCATTTCGAACCTGAATGCGAGGCATCTTCACAGAGCTGTTTCTACCTGTGCCTTCTCTTGGCGACTGCGATTGCGAAGCGAGTCTTGAAGTTTGGCACGACATGGCAGCATACTCACCCCGTGAAATCCTCAAGCCCATTAGAGCAGCCCCTCATCCCCATCCCTGAAGTCTTGTCAGGAGCATCCTGGAGCGTCCGGGGGCCCCTGTGGTGCTGCCGACGGCGCCTGCACCAGCAGGCCATGACTGAGCGGGCGGAAACTCGAAAGTCTTCAATGCTGACGCTCCTTCCTAAGGGCATGCAATCCGAGTGCGACCCTGACGAGCAGCTGCAGAATAATTACAAGCCCTGATCGCTCCGCTGCAACCATCTCGAGAGTAGGCTTTTTAAGAGCCTGTCACCTCAGTCATATGTCCTTACCCCCGTACACGGTTCCCCTCTTGCAGAAATGGACTCTTGACTGTTGACGTGGCTCCCCACATCCCAATCGCTCGTTGAAGTCCGTCTGAAGCTTCGGACTCTTTTTACCTTCGACAATGTCAAGCAGAAACACTAGCCATGGAACTCACGAGTAGTCTAGTGGCGATGAGGACGGTGAGAATGGGAGCCAGGAGACGTAAGACATTTCAGAACATGGCATACATACCTACCAACCTACGTACTCCCCGTAAAAGGACGCAAAAGGCCCACTAGGCCGGCAGGGCCCCGTACTCGTAGGCGTAGTGCCTGTAGCCGGTAGGGCCGGTACAGCCCTTTAGGGCCCGTAGGGCCCGCAGAGGGCCCGGGCCGGATATGGTACCTTTGTCACGTACGTACATACGTACATACATAAATACATACATACACACATCTGTATGTATGTCTATGTATATCGTTGTAAATATCTATATCTATATATAGAGAGAGAGAGAATCTTCGCTATTTGTTTACAATTGTTTATGATCTATACACGAAACTCATCATGATTGCCGTCACTGATATCATCAGTCCTATTCTACAGATATGCTATTCCCAACACTATTCTTAGGGTTCCTCTATGTAATTATAGTACAATATGACCCAAAAACCTTATTCTAATTATGTCAAACATCTTTGTGGAGGCGCCAGCTCCCGAAGCCGATCCGGGAGCCAATCTCCTGGGAAGCGCTCCGAGCGAACGGAGCGCAGCCACTCGCGGTCTCCATCGAAGCCGAAGGCTTCGGCTGTTTAGGGCTTTAGGGGCTTTAGGGCTTCAGGTTTTTGTTGGGGGGCTTCGGGCTTTAGAACTTTAGGGGTTTGGGGTGTTGGGCAGGGTTCGGTTAAGGATTTGGGTTTTTGGTTTGGGGGCTTAGGATGCCGGTTTTAGGGCTGTAAGGTCACAAGAACAGCTCATGGTCAGAGCTTCGGTTTCAAGCGTACCAGGCGCCGACGGCTTCGCAGTCGTGAGCCACTTCCCGGTCCTGAGTGAAGATCTTTTGGCGGAGGAAACGCCTCAGGACTCCAGGCTTGGAGCATTAGGCTTTCATCATTTCAACAAAGATTGGTTGTCGAATAGAAGGCCCTGCAGCAGTGGAGTCCTACCTTTTGTCCCACAAGAGGGGTGAGGCAGGCAGTGGGCTGAAAACGCCACAGAGACCAGGAGCCCAAAGCCAAAGAAATCGCAGTAGGATTTTTGGATGTAGTGCTTTGACAAATGGACACTCCGATGCTCTTGCACACGGATTGTCCGGCAGCGAAGGCTCTCGACAGTTATGTGAACATTTCAATAGATTATGTTTCACTTCTGCGACAGGAGGCCTAAGGCCTCACGGTGCACGCGGACATTTTCAAAAATTGCCGAGCTGCCCGTCAGGGCCACATGCCAGAGAGACCAACATGAGCACTTTGACATCTAGGGCGAAAGGGATCTTGCTTAGTCTTCATAGGGCTGGTCTGAGTCGAAGTTGCTTTTCGGGTTTCGTGTCTTGCACTTTCTCCGGGTTTGGCGTGGCCTTGTTTTGGTTGCTCAGGCTAGTCAGCTTGTTACCCGTGTCGTGACTGAGTGAATCGCTTGAGGATGCCATCAATGTTTTACGGCATAGTTCTTCGTCACTACAGGTCTGTTGCCTCTCTCTCTCTCTCCCCAGCTCGTCTCGGATCCATGTCTTTTTCTAGTTCGTCAAGTTGTGATCGGCTGCTGGGTGACGGTTGGTTCAGTTGACAGGAGTCAGGTCGGGGGTCCCTTGTGGCCGAAACCCATGACGAACGACGACGACCACGACGACGACGAAGTTGCTGTACGGGATCCTCTTGTTGTCACTGTGGTCTTCAGCATGGACTCCTGCTTTCCTCACCGTATGGTTGATTCCGGATGAGCGTAATTAACCTAAGCGTGTCATTCGGGCGCTGGTCACGGTGTTCGAGCACCATATATCAAGCTCGAGCGTCACTGGCGATTCAAACATGTCGTCAGTTCGACCACCGCCGATTCAAGCACCAAACCCTATCGAGAGAGCTCGATTCAAGCACTGCAATTCAGATTGGGGGACCGGGGCTGGTTCCCGCTGGCGATAGAGCATGGAGCTTTCAGTGCCAGAGTCCCCGGTGCAAGAAGTGCACGTGTCTGCTGCCACAGTCCGCGAATCTCCAGCCCCAATCAAGATTTCCCAGTGCGCGAATGGGATCCTTACCAGATTCACACTGAAGCCTTGCCGCTGCTTTTTCGAGCTCCCGCGGCTTTCAAGAGAGTTTGTTCAGTCGAGCCTTCTCCTCGGCTGTGGCCGAAATGGGAAGACTCTTGGCAGCAGGTGCAGCATGCCTGAAACACTTCGACATGCGAAGCGAGCGCAACAGCTTCCATTTTATGTAAGCGTTTTCGGAAAAACTGCATCCATCCAAGGCGGTGCATCTGCAGAGGCAAAGTCGTCTGCGATTCAACTGCTCGGCGTTGCTTGTATGACATTGGCACACTCAAGCCTGGTTTCAAGTAGAAGTGACCATGCCGGGCTTAACCTTGTGAGCTTTGCTTTCCGTGCACGTGCGGTTGGCCCTTCTCACCGTATCCCAGAGCTCAGGACAAGCTGCTCAAATCTGGAGGCCTTAAAGCCGATGGTGCTGCGGCTGGAGGCGAGTCTTACTTAGAACCCTAGAGCTAACCACGAATCAGTGAGTCCATGGCGTGAGCCTGCAGTCGCAGGCGAATCGGTCGACACGGCGAGTGTTTTCGAAGGCAAGAAGGCTGTTGGGCTCTACTTTTCGGCCCACTGGTCGCCGGGCTGAAATTCCGAAACGATGTGCGCATCCCGAACAATACACAACGCACCCAACGCGCATGCAGCACTGGAAGATTTGGCACGCAGTGATTCAGCTCTGAATGTGAGTGTGGGACGAATTTAGCCCTGTACATTATGGCATGGACAGTTTGGCTTGTCTGCTACTCGTATTTCCTAGCTTGGTTTGCGCATGCGGGGCTCTTCCATGTCTGCAATCGACGAGGGGCGACCAGGACCGGAACAGTCCCCTCTTGAATTCGCTGCATCTGGGTAGACACAGGCGTGACAGATCAGGGACAGAGCATACAGACGAGAACTCCAGCCTGCCCTCCAACAGGCTTGCACCAAAGACAAGCTGTCTACATACCACTTGAGACTTCTCGTCGGCCGAGGTGTCCTCCGTGCCGTTCCTCAGCTGCGCCTATGCACCGTGAAATGAGTAAAACCGTGGAGACGTGAATCAAGCCTGGATGAGCACCAACGACACTCAGATCGCGGGACATATGTGAAGGCCGTGCGACTGTTGCTGCAAAGCGCCGGCACCAACAAAAAGGTCATTCGCGTCTTCTCATGAGTAGAGACAGTCACTCATATTTCTCGAGCCTGCGGTTTGTGAAGTCACATGGCATCTATATTAAGTAGTAAACTAGTACAGTCATTAACGTTTTTCTCATAAACAGAGACCGTCACCTGGAGCACGCATTTCTCGTGCATGCTTCTTGTAGCGGCGCTGTGCTAAGGTAGCTTCACACCGAAGCTGGCGGAGGCATATAAGACCCATCTAAAAGACAAGGGCCTTGAAATTGTCTTCGTATCCTCAGACAGCTCCCTGGCAGAATCGCGTTCCGGGGACACATGCACCTTTTCGTCTGATCGCTTCTCCCTTCAAAACTGGCTTCCCATGCTGTTTGTCAGTTTGTCTGATGCTGAGACAGTGAAGAAGAGTTCAACAGTTACTTGGGTGAAATGCGGCCTGGCAGCACTGATCTGCGAGATTTCCGAGCTTGCTGTCACTAATCGTGTACGTGCGGCGGCCTTTTCACGACAGCGCATGTGTCGCCTGCGGATTCATGTCGTGCACGCCAACCATGTGGCTCGCTTTGACAGGTAAGGAGTGTGGACTGCAGTCTGGCTTGCCTTTGCATGTCGAGGCCATGGCTCGCGCTGCCTTATAGCGAGCGGACCAAGAAGGCACAAATGTCACACCAACTGCTCCGAATCATTGCAGACGGCTTGCAGATCCGTGCTGCCACTCTCAGGTGTGAGAGACATGAGTGACAGTTGCCCCTGAGCAGGCCGACCTTTCCAAAAAGTTCAAGGTCAGTGGAATTCCGACGTCGCCTGGCTGCAAGCGCTAATACAGGAGTTTATCCGTGGTGTAGCGACCTCCAGACTGGAGGCACAAAGCAGTGCATCGCCCGCAGCTGGCTTGGATAGCACATGTGCAGAACCAGGTTCGTCATCATAAACGCGGAGAATGGAGAAGTCATCACGGCAGACGGGCGCAGCGCAGTCATGTCAGATCCGGAAGGCCTTTCCCACCAAAGTGTTGCCTCGACATCAACTAGCGCTTAGTAGCAGCAGTGTGGGAAGCTTGGAATACAGTTCTGCGGAATACTGCCACAAGCTGTCACCCAAGCCCCGTTGACTTGGCACGCTCAGGTTTAAGTAATGATCTTGTCCTAGTCCTAGTGCAGTCTGGGGAGAATGGAGGCGAAAAATGGATGCCATGTTTGCTGAAGGCAGATGAAGTAATCATAGTTTGCTTTCCCTTTATCTGTCACAGCTTGTCAGTGCTCTGACAGCCATCCCTGCGAGGCAAAAAGTTTCCGTGGATACCGCCAACCTTTCAGGACACTGTGGATCCCGGTAGCTCGCCGAAGCTTGCTTTCAAGTCCATAGGAGGATGCTCAGAATCAGTAACTGTGGGTAAGCCGACACGGTCTTCGACATGGTTTTCCGGCGTGTTCCTTTTGTTGCATGCTGTCTATCTTCTTATGTATGTGTACATATATGTATGTATGTGTTCAGACATTGATTTGATTTGAAATTGAGCACATACTGGCTTGCAGTCGTCACAGGTAGTCAATTCGTGAGATGGTGCACTCTGTGACGTCTCAGCTTTGCAGACGGCACACCTGCACAAAGCTTTCAGCCAGTAGCACTTCTCCGCGGATGCGCTTGCGCTACTGAATTGCATGTGATGAAGGAGGTACAATAGGTACAAGTATCGAACGCTCACGGCAAGCCAGTGCAGATCTTGCTGGCTGGAGGAGGCTTTGGGTGATGAGTTGATGGATGGGGACGAGACTGTGGACAAGAAGAAGCTTGACACTTGGCTTGTCAGGTATTTCCGGCCTTTGTACCCAATGCTCATTGAGCACTGCTAGAATACGCACCATGCAGCACTGTGAGTGCGCGGAATCGTGCTACGCTCTTTGAATTCTGCTGCCCTTACAAGGAAGGCAAGACGCTGGGCTTGTACTTTTCAGCGCACTGGCATCTCGGCACAGAGTGGCTTTAGGCGACACGGCCTGGATCGCACAAGAGAGTCGTGATGCACCGGGCTGAGCCTTTGGACATCCTCTCTGATGCATACGTGGTCACATCAGTGCGCTTGCTAAACGAGTTGAGTAGAGCTGGGCGGTGTGACACGGGGCTTGTGATGCGAGTCCGGCGTGAGTTGAAGATTGTTAGAAACTGTCGTGTGCCGGATACTTGTCTATCTTTCCTCTTTGTGCGAGGTAGAGTTTGCACCACCAAATCCACGACACTGCAATGAAATATGCACTTCGTATCTCTCAATGTCTATTCTTGAGCGTCGTAGGAAGCATGTTCCGCCCCGAGCTCAAGATAATGCTGTGAATATATTTAAGAGTGGCAGCATGCAGTCTGGAAGCGTACCGCTTCAGGTGTCCACCGTGCCGAGCGTTTACGCCACAGCTGGCAAAATGGTATGCGGGCATTAAGATGCTGGGATGCAGTCGAGATTCGCGGACGTGCTTCAACCTTTCGGGGTGTTCTGTATGTAGTAGCACATGGTGGGTATGTGCCTTCTACATGGTGGTTTCCGAAAATATGGGAACCCTAATATAGTACCCTAAATGGTAGGATCCTGGTTATAAGGACCACAAAATAAGATACCCCTTGTTTTCGGGAACTCCCACATGCTCATGTCCGGGTCCAGAGCCGGCTGCGATCTCAGGTCAGAGCTCGGGGATAAGTTCGAGATTATCTTCTGCAGTGGCGACCGGGATGAGGCCTCTATGAAGGAGTACTACAAAGAGATGAGAGAAGCTGGGGGACCCGCCAGCTGCAACAAAGATAACAGAAGTTCAGGGTGTCAGGATGTGGTGCATACCGCGGCACTACGCTTTCTCCGTGTCAGGATTTCCAAGCCTGGTACATTCTAGAGAGTCTTCTCTGTGCCTGCTTCTTTCGTGTCTTCGCTCAGGAAAGTGGCTTGCTCTGCCGTACCACAGAAAGGATGATCTGGATCCACTTTTCGAAATCCAGGGAATTCCCACCTTCCTGAGCCTTGGCCGCACTTCATGGACGGTCCTTGCCCGCACCACTAGGAATCGATCCGCAAGAACAACTTGCAGATGCGTCGCTACTTTGCAGGATCGTCAGCCCGGAAGGCAAAGTCATCAACAAGAACGGGCGATCGTTGACCAGTGCACCCGCCAGTGACGCGGCGGTATATTCGTGACCTTTCGCACTTTCCGCTTGGGTCCCCCCAAAGCCCAGGCAGCCCCGGAGGACTAGGAGAGCAATGGAGTGAGCAGCGTTTCAAATCGGCATAGACGTATGCGAGCAAGCCTTGGGTTGACAGCAGCAGACAAATTGCACAGACAGGTCGAAAATGACTGGTCATGTCAGAGGTGCAGAGATCTACCGCTGTCGGCACTGTAAACTGACCTCGACTCCTGAAGTAGCCAATGGTGGACTTGGTCGTCGTTATCACCGCAGTGTTTTTTGGATGGTTGTAGTAGAAGTCGTGGTCGCAGCGGCGGCGTTTGTCGTCGTCGTTTTGTTGTTAGACAAGTGTCGTTGGTACGGGGTGGGGGCGACTACTACTACTACTACTACTACTACTACTGCTACTGCTACTGCTACTACTACTACTACTACCACCACCACTACTACCACTACTACCACTACTACCACCGCTACTACTGGCACTGGTACTGGTACCAGTACTAAGACTAGTATCAGTACTAGTAGGGGTCGTAGTAGCAGTAGTGGTGATAGAAGGGGCAGCAGTGGTAATAGTAGTAGCAGTAGTAGTAGCCGTAGTAGTAGCAGTAGTGGTGATAGAAGGGGCAGCATTGGTAATAGTAGTAGCAGCCGTAGTAGTAGCAGCAGCGGTAGTAGTAGCAGTAGTGGCAGTAGCGGCAGCAGTACCACGTAGCAGCAGCCGCAGCAGCTGCAGGAGCAGGAGCAGGAGCACTGGCAGTAGCAGTAGTAGCGGCAGTAGTAGTAGGTATTAGTACTAGTGGTAGTTGTAGTAGTGGTAGTAGAAGTAGCAGCAGTGGTAGTAGTGGTAGTAGTAGCAGAAGTAGAAGTAGTAGTACTTGTAGTACCCACGGCCGTCGTGGTAGAAGTAGTAGTAGTAGTAGTAGTAGTAGCAGCAGTAGCAGGAGCAGGAGCAGGAGCAGGAGCAGGAGCAGGAGCAGCAGCAGCAGCAGCAGCAGCAGTAGCAGTAGCAGTAGTAGTAGCAGGAGGAGTAGAAGTAGCAGCAGGGGTAGTAGTAGCAGTAATAGTGGTGGTAGTGGTGGTAGTAGTGGTACTAGTAGTAGTAGTAGTAGTAGTAGTAGTAGTAGTAGTAGTACTAGTAGTAGTAGTAGTAGTAGTAGTAGTAGTGGTAGGCGGAGTTGGATGAGTAGGAGTAGGAGAAGGAGAGGGAGAAGGAGTAGGGGAGGTGTAGGAGAGTGAATCTAATTCAAGCCAAGACAGAGCAAATCTTGTACACAACATATTGACAGCGGCCGCACATCATTGCCGGTTGAAACCATCAAAGAATCGATGCTTCCCAAGGCGAGTTTCCCTGGCACCCTCCCGCCATTGGAAGCCTTGAAGATCCGACGGCGGGCTTCGGGCTCCGAGCAGTCAAGGGTCTTTTTCTTGGTGAACTGCTGCCGAGTACACTGTGAAGTGATGGATTAAATCATAGATAGGAGCGTTCAGGATACATCGTTTGCCATATCCGGTGCAAATTATAGGGACAGCGGTCTAGCTCACTGTCATTCCTGCAGGGCATCAACGAGACACCATGCATGTGCCTCATGCTCGAGAGCCACTTGGGCAGATCTTAGATACATGCCCGACGGTAGCAGGTCTTTGCCACGGCCTGGTCTACGAATCATTGGAGTCACTGGGGCTTTCTTCGCCTCAGGTTGCGAGCCAGCTCTCCAAAAACGCATCCTCGAAGCTGTCACCCCCATCGCCGAGAAGTACGTCAAGAGCGGGGAGTCTTTGTCGCAAATATTAGAGGTTAGAGGACCTTGGAACCTGGCAGGAGCGATAAGTAGCTCAAGCTCAGGGGTCGGTGTGCTGAACACCCCAGAAGCTAGGGACCCTCACAAGCGTAGCTTTGATCCAGAAGCGGCTTTGCACGGGATGCTTGGGCTGCAGCTGTTGTATTTCAAGGGCTTGTGACCTGTGACTGCCTCCCTCGTTGCCAAGATGTCAGGGAGGCATGTAGTGTTTGTCATGATGCCGTCAACGGGTCACGTAAATCCTTCCCTGCCAATCGTGGCGGAGCTGGCATCTCGTGGAGTGATAGTGACCTACTACGTCCATGAGCAGTTCCGCAAGGTGGTGGAAGCCACCGGTGCTAACTGGCGCCAAATGCAAAGGCCCCATGACTTGACTGAGGAGCAAGCAACAAAGTACCTACCTGGCCTGGACAAGACTGCGTGCCTCTTCCCGGCCAGTGCGGTGCCCGTGGCCGCTGCAATTCTCCCAATCCTGCTAAGTGACATGGAAAATCTGCACCCGAGACCGTCGTTGATTTTGTACGACCCGTTTTTGCCACAGGGCTTAGTTGCTGCCCGGCATTTGCACATCCCGTCAGTTAGCCTGCTGACCTACACGGGCCCTGGTGTGGTGAGCTGTCGGGCATCTGCAAGCTTGCAGTGGGAGACCAATCCAGCGGTTCAACGAGCAGCACAAGAGATCGAGCAGATGTACGGCGTCGACATCTTTGAGCATGGCTCCGTCGGCGAGTTCTATTCGAGGGAGCGAAACACGGTCGCGACGTTCGAGCGGTTGTTTGCACCTCCATCCTCAAGCTTGCAAAAGGAGCGCATGTCGAATGTGCCCTTTCGATGTGTAGGGCCCATGATCGCCTCGGAGGAAACAAGGATTTCACATGCCTGGGCTTCTGCAGAACAGCTAGACAAGAAGCTTCCGTGGAATACCATCGATGAGGCCAGGCGACGGTCAAAGCATGTTGTCTATTTATCAATGGGTAGCGTGGCGACCTCATCATTCTGGGGACGAAAGTTTGGCCCGACTGCAGAAAGCAACGGCTTGCAAGATTTCAGTGGCAAGGAGTTTGTCCAGTTCGTCCTAAATTCGGCATTCGAGGCGTTCAGGTATGAGGAGGACATCTTGGTTGTTGCAGCCATCGGGCCCCAAGTCGATGCCCTCGATGGTCTCCCTCCTGCTCCTGACAACTTCATTCTTCAGGAAGTTGTACCACAGCTGCAGCTGCTTCAAAAGTGTGACGTGTTCATTACGCATGGGGGAGCCAACAGTCTCCACGAGGCGTTGGGTTTTGCCTTGCCTTTAGTAGTTGTGCCAATGTTCGGGGACCAGCCCTTCAATGCCGATGCTTTGGCGGACACCGGTGCCGCCGTATCGTTCAAATTTCCGAATGAAACCTTGTCAGCGCCAGCTCTTCGATTGGCCGTTCGGCAGATGCTTGACCCTGAGAACTCTTTCCGGCTTGCAGCACGCGACCTAAGCCACGAAATGGCTCGGAGTGGTGGGGTCGCAAGAGCAGTTGACTTCATCTTGTTTGGAGATGATGCGGCTGATGTGCAAGCGAAATTCGCAGGGGCTTGAGGCTTGCTTGGACCTGCGCTGTCTATGCAACGCAGCTCAAGGGAAGTCTACTTACGAAGTTACGAGGACCAGAGCTCCAAAAGCGAGATTTGGATCCATAGCTTACCGACAAAATAGGCTTTTGGTCTACTGGAGATGGGCAGATTTTGCTTTCCTGACATTGAATGAGAGACTGCCCGTATGTTCAGTTGTGCGGCACAGCACTCACCAATCTTGCAAGCTGCCATTGGCGATTCTCAGGAAATGTTGTTCTTTGCTTCAAAGTCACCCAGCAGCGCCCCTTGGAAAGAATGTAGAGGCTAGCTTTCGGACCGATGTTGTGAAGCCGCCAGATGAAGATGTATGGACCTCTGCATTGAGTTTCAGCATTGCATGCTCTTATGGCCAGGTGTCCACGCAGATTCGAGCACTTTGTGGGCTTGAGAGCGTGTCGCAGGCTCGGTAGATGCTTGCCTTAGAGCCTTGGATACTGAACTGACGCATAAAGTCAAAATCAGATCACTATCACGATGTGCTTTCGAGATCTCTGGAGGTTTCGAAGGTGGAGAAGAGCGCCGATCCTGCCGGCTTGGGCCTTTCGGTTTGCTTCTGCTCGCGACATCTGGCGACACTTGGACCTCTGAGGGCCAAGCTTGGTGCGCACGCTTTCCTCCGACACGCCCACCTTGATTCTCCTTGATATTCCAGACTCAGGCTGCTGTTCGCAGATCCTGATCACGCGTTCTCGCTTTTCTTGGCTTTAAGAGGCGGTTTCTACGTCGGGAAGATGGCAAAGGAGCTGGACGGCAGTGGCGTCATGAGCTCAGGGAAAGTTCTTGGGTCTGTTCTCGCCACATGAAGGGAGACGTGTGAAGGTCCAAAGATTAATGATTAATGCTTGCAGCTCCGTGTCGATCCTTACTCATTATGATTATCGTCGTGTTCATTCTCAGGTTCAGGCCATGATCGATGGCTGGAAGGGCAAATCCCTAGAGAGGAAGCAGCTGTCAAAGCCCTAGCCGATTCCGCAGCTCAAAAGGGGCTGCCGCAGCGGCAGGACGGGAGGATGAATTTTAGCCAGCTTGATTACCATCCCGGTATCTTCTTTCCTGTCCAGTTCGACCTAGACTTCTGGAGAATCCAGGTTCGTCAGAAACAGAAATGGAGGGATCTCGGGATGGTGGTGCTGGCTCTGAATTCAAGTACAAATAGCCTATCTCTTGCGAAAGGTGTGGCAGCATCACGTAAACGATTGCCAGCCTGGACCTGCCCATACCGCGCTTCTCAAAATAGTCGCGTTGCTCAGGGCGAAACTTCAGTTTGCGAGCACGACCCCATAGCTGCAGAAGGGCATCGGCGATCCGGAGACAAGTGCTAATGGCCACGGTGTCACCACAATTCGTCGTCCCCACATCTTGGCATGGGTCGTTTATCGACTTTTTCTTGTTGGATCGGTATATTACATGTAGTGCATACTATCTATGTAGACTTAGCAAAACACATGTTTCATGTAATGTTAAATACAATTTCATTACGTCTATATTATGCTGTATCATGTGATATATATATATATATGTATAGATATGTATAGATATGTGTATATATATATATATATATTATATTATGTTGTAGTACAGTCTAGTACAGCATGTAGTATAATATCGTATAGTATAGTATAGTATAGTATAGTATAGTATAGTATAGCTTATAGCTTAGCTTCGTTTAGAATCGTATGGGTATGGGTGTGGGCATGGGTATGGTTTAGTATAGTATAGTCTGTTTCATTTCCATTATCTTGTATTGTCTTGTATTACATAGAATTCTATTTTTTCAGTACATTGTATTGTTCGGCATTCCTTTTCGTAGCCAGCTTGAAGCGACCGGGTTGTGCAGACCTAAGTCCATCAGGCCTGAAATCTGAAAGGTGATGAGAGCATACCTGCTGGTCGAGATTCAGAGAGGCTGCTGGAAAGGCTCCCATACAATCAAAGAGGTGTTGGAAAGGTCAGTAGAATCTCGGCACTATCACAGTGCTTTTGGCAAGTTAGGCTCTTCTTTCTTGCTACTGGTAAAGTTTCTATCATGTGCACACCGTAGAAGTGGGATTCGCCTGCCATGGCCGGGGCAGACTGCGCTCCAAATTCCGTGGAATACTGGGATGATTTCTACGACGATCGGAGGAGTCTACGGTTGACTGCTCGGTTGCTCCATGCTGGTATGTTGTGTTGCAGGAGTGCCTACGATACGTTATACGGCTATGAGGAGCCCGCAAGTCCATTTTTGCCACATGATGTTCTGTTGGCCAGTATGATTCAGGCTCCTAGGCTCCTTCACATTCAAGATTCGAGGGATCTGCTTCAAACGAGCCTTGGGAAGTCCGGGGGTTTGCTGCCTGGGTGTTGCTCGGGCCGGTGCGTGATGCTTTGCCTTTCAAGGATCTGCGAACGCTGCTGCTGTCCTTGATGCCCCTCGATTCTCGGCGCGGACAGTCTAAGGTGCTACACGCAGGCGTCGGGGACAGCGAGCCCCGAAGTGCAGCCAGCAAAATCACAGAAGTATTCCCCGACTTTGGCTTCCACATCTGTCAGGCTGCGGAACGAGCAACGTCACTGATGGCTTGTGGCGCGATGGCTTCAGCAGATTGCCTGCAGTCCGAAGAACGATCCGTGCATGCGGCTGTTGTGCCATACATCCAACTGAGGAAGCATCCTCAACATCGATTTTAGTGATGCCCTTCCGCCTGGAATACGTTTGTTAGAAGCTGTGTGCACATCGGTGTTGGCTTCTGGCGGTGCATCTTGATTACTCTTGGTTTGCCAGCACCCACCCAGGTCGTCGTGAAGCTCATGGCAGATCGTTGGTCGGATCGTGCAGCGTTGAGCACGGAGGGGGATGCAATGCTCACAGGCTTGGAAGTGGTATGCAGAACGAAAGCACCAAAACGGCGCAAAACGAAAGCCAAGACCTATCGAAAGCGAATTGGAGTGTCAAGGTTAGACTTGGAAGCTTGCAAGTGTTTGAATCGAAGCCGGTACTCCGTATTGCCCTGGTCTCGACTATGCTTACACCCGCAAACGGACACTGGGCGAGCCTGTGAGGTGTACAGTGGCAGCAGATGGATCTCACGGACTTGTCTCAGTAGCCTGGCGAGAGTGCATGGGTGTCGTGCATGCTTGTTACTGTCCTGGTCCTAAATCGTTTCCAAACATTTCCACACCTGCAAATGGTTACGTTGCGTTTGGCGTTGGTTTTTTACCAGGCATCCAGGCGCGTGACAGCAGGGGAGGTGGGCCAATCCAATGCCAAAGCACGGTGTCACCAGAACAGAGTATAGAAGCTGTGTCTATGTTTGGTCTGTGCTAGTTTCTCCCATGCGCATGTTGCCGTCGAAAAACAATGAATACAAGAGTTTAATAACATTAACTCTGTAGTTAATTGTTTAGGGTTCTGGGGTTGAACAACCCCCCATCCTGACAATTAACTCTAGATTTAATTGTTCTGAACTGATGTAGCTCCGGAG